TAGTCCTTTAAAGAGAGGGGGGCAGGGGGTGGGAAAAGAGAGAAAGCAAAAGGGGGGTGATTTATATTATCTCCAAACTATGTTTGTTTGGAAAGGATGAAGGAAAAGATCACCCTTGTCCCCTTCCAGCTGATGAATACATTGCAGGACTCCAGGAACACAGTCCTTCATGGCCATTTATAGATGTTATGTTTTTCTAGGTTTAATCACTATATACACGTGGATGTCTGTAGTCTGAATTAACATTAGGTCCACTTCAAATTCACTAATCCTCATTGAATGAGGATTAAAATTAATGCAGACTAAAGCGGCCCAAACCAGGCAATTTAAACTGTATTAATTAACAGGTATATATAGCAGGTATCTAGGGCTTCCTGTTGCTCATGCTTACCACCAGGCGTAGCAAGTGAGTGCAGTTTTGTGGCCCTGACTGTCAGTGGTGAACAGAAGTGCCGAAATGCACGAAAACCTCCGTGACTATCAATGACAGGTTTACTAACTCTTAATTCAAATTGAAATTTGATTTGAACTGGATGATGTGAATCAGTTGACATGGTTTAGAAAACAGTGAGCATGTCTACAAATGGCCCGTGAGACAAAATACTGAAATTCAGTGGAAGCCAGTCAAAATAAGGAAAGAGTTTTGACACCATTTCTTGCCCTTGGTGAACCCCATCTTTACTTTAGGTAAATTCCCTTTGACTTCAGTGATAGACCTGCCTTCGTAATACAGATCCTTAAGGTATGGCAGTGAAAGAAGAAGTATCCTTGCAGCAGGGAAAACATCCCCTCTGTGAGAAGGGATGTATATCAGGGTGTGAGGGGTTAATAAAGAAGATTGCTTCAGCTGGGGATATTTAGCAGTCCAGATTTAGCAGCTGCCACAGCAAAAGCAGCCTTATAAAGAGAGACTACCATGTACTTTTTTAGCAGTAATAGCAGCTCACTGAGGAAGCTGGGAGGGCAAAAAGACATACAGAAGTGATGTGTTTTTGCTTCCAACTTTGTTTATCAGAAAGATATGTATTTTCTGTGAGCTTTCCTACTTGGCCTGACTTGCGTAAGGTTGCTTCAGTGAACTGCTTTTATACGCTACACAAGGAGTAGGTAAACTTTTCCAGCTCCAAGCCAGAATGACCCACACCAGCCAGAGGAAGGCAAGTGCTAGGATCTGGCCACCACCTTTCTTGGGGGCACAGGAAGAATGCCCATAGTTGGTACTTGTCCCCATAGCTAAAGCAGCTGAATGTTTTCAAAGTCCCAGATCAGTGAGCCAGATCTAACAAATACATGGGCCTGATTCAGCCCGTGGGCCATAGGTTGACAATCCCTGCTCTACATAGTCTCCAGTCAAGAGAGCAATGACTAAAAATGAGCCTAGCTTTTCTAATAGCAGCCCCCAAAAATGCAGCATTGAAATGTCTCCAGACATGCTTCTTTAGATGTGCCTTAGCTGTACGCACTTTAAAAGCACGGGTGAAAGGCAAAGTTGGGGGGGAAGGAAAGTGTCTTTTGATTCACTGTTTCCTGAATGGAGAGTGATGTGGTCTAAAAATCATGTTCTTCAGAGCTTGTCATCCCTAAATGAAGTCATAGGGGATACAAAGTCTTCTGGTTTCTTCTATTTTTTACTCTCACCAACTTGTTTAGCACAAGCAGACAATATCCAGCCTTGATTCAGCAATCCATACATCACAGTGGCCTCTCTGTGTGAGTATTTCTCTCGGCACCCAGTCCTGTGTACCTTCTTATGAATGAAAGCTTTGACCTGGTTACCTTTCTTTCCCTCCCTTTACTGCAAAGCAAGCGTTCTCATAAATGTCTTTCCCTCTCCCTAAGGACTGAGGTAGATTACTTTGCTCTTCTGCTTTTCTGCTTCTTCAGCAAAGTGCAGTGAAACTTCTAAGTATAATTTTTGCCCACTTAAGCTTTTGTTATAATCACACAGTGGTGTAATGAGGAGCAGATTTAAACACATAGACTATTTTTATGCTTGCTGAGATTTTTAAAAAATTAACAACTGGTTGTAAACTAAACTGATTAAATATCCATGATTTGGTGGCCCAAATAAAGCTTTTAGAAATGTAGAGCAGAGTTACAAATGGATTAGAAATGGGAGAACATTACCATGTTCAAAGTCATGTGAACCTTTCAAACTGTTTTGGGGACTTGGAAAGCTTGTTCAAGTCTGTAAGTTATTTTTCCTGTAATTTAAAATGCCTCTGGGTGTGTGTTTTTCAAGATTGTTTCAATTAATCAAGGGAGAAAAACAGAAAAGCATGTGTTTGCAGCTAAAAGGAAAGTTGTTCTGCATGCTGAGAATAGAAAAACATCCACCCACCCACCCATGTCTTCAAAATATCTATGCTGGCACAAGTGGGTAGTCTCTGCCCATATAATATAGTTATGGTAGCATTACCTATTCTTAAGGTTGCCTGACGTTTTTCATTTATAAGATCCTGTTTTCAGTTTTTTATAACTTTTGGCAAATTTTAACTGTTTGAGTTGAAACTTTCCATGCTGGCTATTTGTCTCTAGCTGAATTGTTTCTTCTTTGGAAAGCTGTAAGCAAAAACAAGGTCAGCAGTTTCTGAGAATGTGATCTTACAAGAAAATGTGTTATGTTGCATTCTTACAATTAAAAACCTTCTTATGATTATTTCAATGAGAAGCTCTAGTACCTGTGTGCTTTGGAGCAAGGTTTGAAAATTTGGCAGGGCAGTTGTTCTGGTGTCAGGGATACATGCCTTTTGCTGTTCCCATTAGAAATGGATCCAGTTTGGCAAGTTAAAAACCTCTGAAAATTCTCCTTTTACAGGTGCTCAGTTTAGACTTATTAGAATCACGAATTTCTGAATCTTCTGTCAACTCGGATCAGGCTTCATTCCCTCACAGCAGAGACATGCTGACTGGTTTATGTCTGTACTGTTCCTATCAAGGAACTGCATACAGTGTAGCCTAGAGCTGCGCAAATGAGCAGAACTTTCCCTTCAGATGCTGCCCAGAGCTTTTTGGGACCATTGTACAGTACTACCAGATACAGGAAAAGAGTGCAGGGACTGTCTCTCCTGTGCTGTTAGTGACCTACCCATTCTGACATGCTAGTAGATTAGAAAAGGAAACAGCTTGACATACGCAGAGAGACAAGGGCTAGACTAGGGAAAAGAGTGGAAGGCAGGAAAGGAGACATAGGAGAAGGCTGGGACAAGTTGCTGGGAAGGCAGCCTTGGGATTAGCTAGGGAAGGAACCCAGAGACTATGACCTAGAGATGGCAGGGAGACAGAGTGGATTTGGCATGGGGATTAATGGAAGACCTGCACTTGTTTTGCAAGAAGACTGGGAGTGGGAGCTAGTGGATGGAGAGGGAGAAGGCAGATTGAGCCACCCTTAAATTGCAGTTGAGGCAGAATTGGTCTCTGGCTGATTCTGGAATAATGGAGGTGCAAAGACAAGTTCTTTCCTACCCACCATAAGCTGAACAAACTCTGCCGGACTGGGGAACCTGGATCGTAGTTTGGTACTTAATAAACCTGCTGTTTTTTGTGTCTTTATACCACTACGTACAAACTGAGAGATAGCAACCTAGGATTTTACCGGGTGCCTGCATTGTACACAGCAGATCCTACTACCATAAAGGAAAGGCCTAGCTCTGATCTTTTCACAGGGGTACCATATAACCTTGGAGAGATGTAGCAGGAAGCACCCACACAGAAAAATAGCAGGGGGGTTGAGAAACAGTGATCCCTTTTCCCGTGGTTGTTTTTGTTTTTTTTGTTTGTTTGTTTTGTTTTTTGTTTTGTTTTGGGGTTTTTTGGTGGTGTTTTTGTTTTTTGGTTTTGGTTTTGTTTTGGGTTTTTTTTGCAGATAGGCCACTTGATTACAATTTACCCTGCAATGATATCTGTTATTTACAACAAGCCTGAATCTACCCCTACTTGTACTTTGGCAAAGTTTACATCTGATCTTTGTGGTTCAGATCCATCTCTCATTTTAGCAAAATACTGATAATTTGTCCCAAGTTATTACTGATCAAAAATGCTAGTGCAAGCTTTGCCAATTAACAGGACATCATACCAACAGCTAGTAGTGCATGAAAAATATCCCCAGATTTTGCAAGTCCTATTAATCTTTTTTATATAAGCAACAGAATAACACTGCATGAGCAGCGGGCAATGTTCTACTTGCATGTGTATGAAGCAGGTGAGATTTAGAGGCTTATTTTTTTGGATATTGACTGAATAGCAGCTAGCAAAACAGGGACTACAAGTCTATTCTAAAGCTTCTCTAACTTTGAATTTCCAGCTAGGGTTACAATTGTCACCAACTTTGTTTTGATACTTAGAGGTTGGATAGGTGTCACAATATTTATACTGAAAAATTCAAATATTGTGGAGCTCTGCTGAATTCCAGTGTTCCAGGGGTGCAAGAGAGCCTTGGCAGGAAAGGAGAATAAGTGGGAAGGAAGATAAGCTTGGAGGGAGCTCTGTGATTAGAGAAACCAGTCCCCTACCAACACAAGCAGTCACATCTGTATGCTTTTCTTATATTGATTGTGGTTAACTGAAACAATAATAGTAGCTAAGGATTTTTCAGTTCTTACTACTCACAAAATAGTCACCTAAATAATCTGTCTTTACTGGTGAAGAACTGGAATATTTCTCTTACAGTATTTTTCCATCACTTTCTTCCCCTCCTCAATGAGCATCAAACTCTGACTGAAAGCACCACTACAAAATACCTAGTACTTTTGTAATCCCCCTCAGTAAAATCTCTTTCAGGATTCTTCATCAACAGCAGCTGTTTGATGGACTACCCAATGCACATAGAACTACTCAGGAGTGATGTGTTAAGCTTTATCATTTTGCTAATATATAGAGACAGAAAACTGAAACCTCTGTCATATTTTTTTCTTCTGTTTGACTGTCTGTGTGGTTCTACAAGAAGTTATTATTAAAACATTCAATTTTTCCTCCTCTTTTTTTTTCTGGGTGAAAAATAGCTGAGGAAGTGGAAAGACTGGCTGCAATGCGTTCAGACTCTCTAGTACCAGGAACCCACACACCTCCAATCAGGAGAAGAAGCAAATTTGCCACTCTAGGAAGGATTTTCAAACCCTGGAAATGGAGGAAGAAGAAGAGTGAAAAATTCAAACATACATCAGCAGGTAATAAGCACCCTTTGGCTGTTCTTCAACGGTGGGCTCAATGAGTTAAAAAGGAAATAGATATTCATTAGCAAATAATATAATCCCAAATTATAATTGAATTTACTGTTATAATAGACTTGTTGGAAATGTCACCCAGCTTCTGAAAGATGCTTAACTTTTTGTGGCTGGTTTGTTTGTTTGTTTTTGTGATGTTTTAAAGGCTGATGGAACAATTCGTGAAGTCTCCCTGCTGCTTGTCATCAAGCAAAACTTGCCATTGCTAAGTACACAGCTTCCCCTATTAGTAAAGTTCATCACAGTGAAGTAACCCAAATAAAGTCTTGTTTCTCACAGGACAGAAGCCAACATGCAGGGTATACATGCAGGCGGTTAAATAAAAGGACAAACTCAATGAAGAATGCAATTATTTTCAAACTTTTAAAAAAAATTTTATGAACAAGGAAGAATAAAAGTGAAAGTGGAAAAAGCAGATGACATTTTGCTTTAATGCAAATTAAATACTTTTAAATTCCTTATTCCAGTGGGCTGGAGTGACCAGCAGCCCATCTGTAATGTATGAAGATCTCTTTTCTGCATACCCTTTTCAGATTCTGAGTCTTAGAGTATTTTTTAAAATTGTATTGAAAAGCAGGAAACAAAACCATATGTTTATACTGGAAATAAGGTTGAGCCAAAACCCCAGAGGTAAACACTTGTCAGCCTAGGGAGTTTGTATCTGTATTTGCTCTTGATCTCTTCTCTGTTATATATCCAGAGACCTCTTCCCTACAGCCCACACAGAGATTGATAATATGTGACTGGACATGTTTCTGCAAATCTTGATCTAGGATTGGCAAAACAAGAATTCTCACTGCCGACCTCTTTATGATGATAGAATCAGACACACAACACTGTGAAGCTTGCAACTTTCAAGTGCCAGCAGGGATTTGGAATAGAACCAAGGTTGCCAACCTTCTGTAAATTTACAGCTAATCTGTAAAAGAAGGGGTTAAAAGCACTGATCCAGAAAGTCTATAAAAATATTTTGATATCCATAAAATTTATGGACACATGGAAACCCTGCTGCTGCCCAGCAGGGCCTTTAGAAAGCAGAAATGCTTGGAAATTGCATGCATGGAGTCAAGCTTCTTTCTTGCTTGCTCTCAGTGGGAGGGGGCGGGCAAGGGAAAGTCTGCCTTGCAGAGAGCATGTCTGAACACATGGGGCATGGCATAGAGCAGGAGTGGGCAAAATGCAGCCTGGATGCCGGATGCAGCCCGCCAGGCCATTCTATCCAGCCCATGGGGCCCCTAAAAAATCTGGAAAATTAATATTTATCTGCCCCTGGCTGCCTGTCATGCAGCCCTCGATGGCTTGCCAAAACTCAGTAAGTGGCCCTCTGCCCACAATAATTGCCTGCCCCGGTATAAAATGTCCCCATCCTGCACTCAAGATCCCTCTTCCCTTTTGTCCAGATTTTGGAGCACATGTCCCCTCTGAGTCCCCTGGGTTTGGTGCAAGTAGCACAGAGCTGGCTGGGGGAAGGACTGAGGTGCCCTGGGGACTAGACACAAAAAGCCCACCAGCATGGTCCAGGAGAAGTGATGCTCCAGGGATAGAGAACAGACCCTGGAACCCAAACTGTGGTGGGGAGATCAGGGCGCTGCAGGGTTAGGGTTGCCCTCAAAGTAGTGAGTCTTGGCCCTCCCTCAAACCTAGCCCCATTACATGAACCTCCTGCAGGGCACCCCAAGCCTCAGCTACCCCCATCAGGGCTCTGTCTGGAGCTGGACTCAGGCACTAGCTTGCCTTGTGGCAGACGAGAGCTGCCTGCACCCCAGAGAGATATGGCTTCTTCCCCTGGTCCACACACATCACAGATGCGCCAGGGAAGTCCAAGGCGCAGGGGCTGTGTAGACTACAACTGCTGGAAAGGCACAGAGGTAGCCAGCAGGACTGCTGGGTTGCTTTCACACCAGCCTCCTTGGAGACCCTCCAGTACGTCCCGTCTGGGGAAGAGAGCCAGATCCCTTCATGGATTCACTGTGTGTGTATATGAGAGAGAGAGCAGTAATTTGCATTACATTTATGCAACATTATGTCAGTAAACATTTTTCATTGTCTGTAAGAAGTTTGCAGATTATCATTAAAAAAGTTCTTGGGTTGGCAAGTTCTCTGGGTTGTTTACAATGCAAAACTTGTAGTGTAGACAAGAATTTGTCCCTTGATCCTACTGGTCCATACTTGTACAACAAAAGTCTCTTGCTTAAGTGGAAATTCTTTTAGGAATGCGAGTACATTTTTGCATGGTTAGAGGCTAAATCTACTCTTCAACTCTGGCTTTATAACTGATGTCTGGTCAGGTAGGCAAAGACAAGTGAACTGGAATAAGTGGCTGTTACCTTGAGTGACTGTGTTATTTTTTGGCTTGACAGCTGAGAAGCTATTCATATCAAGATGACATGATTTTTTGCAGAAAAAAATGGCCCGTCCTTTATGTTATGTATTGGTTGTTATTGTAGTGCAGGACCTGTAGTTGCACACTTTCTGTGAGAATCACATAGCTCTTCATGCAGGCTAGCTTCCAACTAACTCCTGCAGCTAGAGCTAGCTGGGTAGACTTGCTCACACATTGGTCAGCACAGGCTAAAGAAAACATTGGAGTGTTTATCCAGTGTGTCCCATTTCTTGACTGAGTTTTCCAACTTGCTCTCAGTTCTGTGCTGCCACAGGCCATGTTGCAAGGCCATGTTGCACAGGCCATGGCCAAGCTGCCTGTGGCAGCTTGGCCATCTTGACACAAACTAGGGTTCTTTCTTACATATGACCTATCTAATGGACATCATAGACTGAGTATAAAAGGGCACACATTTTATGATTATCTTGTATTGTAAGCATAAATATCAACTTGTTCCAAACTTTGGATCCAGATCAAGGGTTTAAATCTGGAATTTGGCCTAGCAGCATCTCTAGATATACGAGTAGTGTAAGGGGATTTTCAAAACAATGTATGGAAAGGATTAGCCAAAAATGCAGTTGTCCTCAGAGCATTTTTTTCCAATGGCAGGGTTATAAATCCCTTAGCAGTAGTGAATTTTAATAGACACTCCATGGCAGGCTCTTAACTCAACAATACAACCAGACTACACCATAAGCATCTATTAGTAAAAGCATACTAAACAGTTATTAAATTTAATTAAATTCAGTCACATTTTCATTTATGATACAATTAATGTTTTAAAAGACAGTTTCTTATCTAGAGCTCCTTTTTTTCCTTTAATTACCATAAGGGATTGAGGACCCTTGGAAGCAATGAGCAACCTAATAGTATTGACAGAAATAGCTATGGAAGCATAATAAAACTTGTAAATGGCAAGACTGTATCTCTTGATGGGGCTGTTCTTTTTATCTCAGTGATTCTCAACCTCATTAGACTCAAGATACCCCTTGTTAGCCTCAAGGAACCCTTTGAAAAATGCCCTCTTAGGGCACCTAAGATGTCTGGGGGCATTTGATGCCATAGCCCTGGCATCTGGGGGCACCCTCTGGCAGGGCTGGGGGGGCGGGCAGGTGTGGGTGAGGAGTGAGGGGCACTGGCAGGGCCAGGGAGCTGTGGGTGAGGAGTGAGGGGCACTTGGAGGGAGTGGGGGGCTGTGGGTTGGGAGTGAGAGGCCATGCTGAAGCAATGGAGTCATAAATGGGTCATGCTGAGGAAAAGGTTAGAAAGCACTGGTCTAGGCATAAAGGGCATTTTTACACGTGCTCTGGGATGCGGCATGAGGTGTTTTAATTAGTGAGCTGTGCTAATTAAAAGCACCCACGCATCATGTGTATCGGTGTCCCTGCATGCCCCTGTACTGAAAAAATGGCGTCAGGGCACTTTGAACTAAAGCTCAACGAACGTGTTTTATTTCGAAGTGTTCCACCGCCATTTTTTCACTGTAGGGATGTACAGGGATGCTGGTACATGTGACATGGAAGGCTGCCAGAGCACATCAATTTCTGTGCTCCAGCACACTGAATTAATTGAATCTGCTCTGACATACTGGATTTCCAAAGTTTTCTAAAGATTTTAAAGAGTCTATATAAAACTCCTAACCTGTTTGACACTGGGTGATCATTGGACAATATAAGCCATGATTCTGCAGCTGGATCTCTCTGGAGTGCAGGAGTCAAATGTGTAGAATTAAAATATAGACAACCTGGGCACATCTACTTGTGTACCATAAAGTGTCACAAAAACGTGCTTTTTAGCTAATGCACATTAAAATAGGCGAATGAGCCTTTTTCTGTGCCTAATGTGTGTTACCTAAAGCACATTAATGAACATGTAGACATGCACACTGAGGCTGTCTTTCAGCTAATCCAAGACTGAGGCTTTAAAAACTGGTTGAAAATCTTAGCCCAGATTTCTAGAAGTGGCCTCTGCTTGTAGATGCCTAGCAGTAGAACTGATTTTCAAAGATACTGCAAAAAGGTAGCCTTTCTTTCTTTCTTTTTTCTTTTCTTTTTTTTTTTTTACCAAAAAGCAAATTCAGAAACAAAAGGGCAGTTTTGGTTGAACCAAAATTATTTGTGAATTTAGATTTAATTCGGCACCTAACTCTAATGGCTGTTTCTGAAAACTTGATCCATTGTCTTTCAGTAAAGTGAACAAGGACAGGCTGGAGAGCTCTCATTCCTTTAACTGGGTTGGACCATAGGTTTCACAAAGGTCACTTTCAGCCATGCAAACAGAGTACCAACCAAAAATGTACTGAAAAATTGCTTGGCAAGACTGAGCAGAAGTTGGATCTTTTCAATCTCTAATGTCTGTGTTGCTGGAATTACAAATTATGCATTATTTTTAGATTTGGTATTTTAAATGGACTAAAATCTCAGAAGTACTAAATTATATTCAGAAGATGCAGCTATGCTTCTTACACAGAAGGCAATTGTAGCATTTGTCTATTTTTACACATGCGTTGCTAAATAGGAGTTTCTGAAGAAAATGGATGTTTATTCCACTGTATAGCAGA